TCCAAACTCTGGAGAGAACTCAACGAAGAACATTCAAAGCCATGTAGGCATTGAAAACAAACAGGTACTTCTGGCCACAGCGCTAATAAGAGTACGAACAGCAAATGGAGCCTATGAATACCTACGAGCCCTTATTGACCCGGGATCACAGGCATAGCTCATAACAGAAAAGGCTGCAACGCTCTTGTCACTACTCAGAGAACACATTCAAGCCGATATAACTGGACTTGGAGGTGAAATACCGAACAAATCAAACTCCAAAATTAGAGTCGAGTGCGCTCCACGATTTTCGAGTGATTTCACACTCACAACAGACCTACTGGTACTACCAAAAATTACAGAATTTCTACCAGAAGAAGACATCGAAACAGATCTTCAGGTGTAGCAGAATCATATCATCGCGGATCCAGTCTTCCAAGATAAAGGCCCAATTGATGTATTGCTGGGGGCGGCTGAATACCGCAACATAATACTCAACGGTATCCAAAAAACAAATGATGGTTTTGGATCAAAATACAGAATTTGGATGGATCTTGTCCGGTACCATAATAAAAGAAGAAAAAAGAAACAACAAACGCATAACGGTTAAAAGCATGATGACAAGAAAAGAAAATCGGCAAGCTGCAAAAATTGACCAAAACAAAATCCACCGACACTTCGAAAAATGGCATCAGTTCCAGTTATACCCAGACCAACCACACGGCCGGTGGTGGCAAATTTGGCTCCACCAAAAATCCTTCAACAGTTAAAATCAATAAAAGAAGCCATGGTCCAGGCTGAACACAAAAAGAATTAGAAAAGGAAGAAGAAGAAAGACAGTCCGAACTTCAAGAAACAACGTGGCCAAAGATAACTCTGCTCACTGTAAGATTCAACAAGATCATCAGCAGCAACGTCCTAACAACGATCATGGTTCTTCATCATCGAAGAAAGCAACGGACACAACCACGAGATGAGACCCATTTACCCGCCAAGAGTACCCTAATATATTACCAATCCATACCATTGCGTTCCCAGTGCAACCCTTCTACAAACCCTATCGCCCCTGTCCATTTCGAGATACCCAACAAGTTTAAATCTTAAAATTTAAACAATAATTTCTAAAATTTAAATTTCCTCTTTACGTCACCGATAAGGAGGTCAGGATCAACGACAGGAATGTAGAACGCTGAAACATGGAATTGCAAGCACCAGAACTACGAAACGCTGACCACCGCACAAGCACCATCGTCAGCGTTAAGAAGGCAGCGGTAATGAAACAAAAGAACATATAAGAAACTGGGTCGCAATACAATTTCATACCTCTCATTACCTTTAGTTTAGAACCACTCATACGCTGTAAATAGTTAGATTTGTATAAATAAGTTAGGTTGTTTTGAATAAAATTAGTATTAAGCTTTATTGGCTTTTTATTCACTCCCACAATTCTACCCCAGAATTGTTCAAAAGATCTTCACCACTTCACACGACCAGGATCTCTGAAACCATCCAATTTACCCAATAATAGGCGGTCTTAGGGTTTTTAGTACCGAGATAAAGAGCGTTACATTTGTCCTTGTTAAGAGGAAGCAAACCAGTCCCGGGACCATTTCAATATGTCACCAAGATCTTCCTTGAGAATCATACTATTATTAATTATGTTATACAACTTTATGTCGTCCGCATACATTGCAAACGGCGACTTTACTTTTTAAATTAGCGGCATAATCCAAGAAGAGCAGAAGTCCTAAAATTGAACCCTGCGAAACTCCACTTAATACAGCCTGCACTCGGAGATGTTCCCACTTTAAGTCGAAATGTGCGCTTTATAAGAAATCCCTCAATCCATGTTAACAGATGACCACTTATGCCGAGGTGTCTTAGTTTTAGCAGCAAACGATATCGCGGAACTTTGTCAAACGCCTTAGAGAAGTCAAGATATAAAACATCAGTTGTGTTTCCCACATCCAGTTCTTTCGTTCACTCAGACAAGCAGCAGAGAAGATTTGTCTGTATAGATTTCCCTGGCAGAAATCCATATTACTCCGATGGGATTAAACAATTATCTAATAGAAATGTAATCATTTGATCGTAAATTCCTGACTCCATAACTTTGACAACAATTGAAGTGTAAAATTTGTCCCCATTCTTGAAAATGGGTCGAACGATGGCCGTACGCCAAACCAGTAGCAAAAATTCTGAAAGGAATGACTGCTTTACTAGCAAACTGATTGGTTTACTGAGAATTTCTTCATATTTCCTCAAAACTAATGGCGTCACTTTGAACTTTATTAACGTCTTGTAGATCACTTTTTCCGAGAAATCGATGTGTTCGAGATGTGCTGGACTGCCCCAATCGCTCAATGAAGGAACTTGATGACTTTTTGAACTTCCGTATTAGGGTACTTTTTTTTCTAACTAATTGTAAAATTCTACCACTAATCCAAGGTATCCTGGGAAATTTTTTAACAGTAATCATTACGGTATTACGTTCAGTGGTATCATACAAAATATTTTTGAAGATATTCCAGTTTTCGGAAAGCGAATTGTTAGGTAATACGAGCTGCCAATCTGTTTTGGCTAGATCCTGACCTATAGCTTTATAATTACTAGCCCTCTTAATTGAGACAGTCCTCTTATAATGAATAAAGCAAATTTGCAGGTTAACCTTTCAGCGTTATATGATCTAAAATACCAATTGGACTAGCGTATTCCATGTGAGTGAGGGAGTTATCATCGGAAGAAATGACAAGATCAACACTGGAAGGAGTTTGGTTGACACGATATCTAGTAGGCTGTGGCACAGATTGGTGTACATGTTAATAAGTAAAACCACAGAAATTAAAAAACAACATGGAAGATCGAATGAAAGCTATGGAGAGTAAAATGAAGAAATTTGAAAAAGTAATAAAAAATGCAGCAACATCTGATTCATTTAATGTGGTGTCGACCCCCAGAACAATTCAACCACCCACCTATGATGGTCAGGCGCCTTGGTCATGAAACAAGAAGCAGTTCAAGTAGCACCGACGGAAAATCTCTAGGAAGAAAAGCAAAAACCGGCGGCCTTGGTAATAGCTTTGCAAGGTGCAGAGCTGGAGAATCTCCAAACTCTGTCCGAAGAAGACAGAAGCACATACGGTGCCCTAATTGCTGCTATCGAACTTCGATTTGGGGATGAATATCTGAAACAAGTTTTTCCAGCCTAGGTAGAAACAAGAGCACAGAAAGTTGGGGAATCTCTACAAAAATTTGAAGCAGATGTCAAGAGACTGGTACGTCTTGTATACTCCAACGCATCACCAACTTTTCAATAGAGGCGGCGACAGAAACCTTATATGAAAATAGTCCATGGTCTTTGCCAGTAGTGATTCTACGTAGACTACAGGAAACTAAAGGATGTAACCGAGGACAGTTATCCTCTTCCATGAATTGATGACACGCTCACGACATTATTAAGATCCGTCTGGTTTTCCACGTTGGACCCCAAAAGCGGCTATTGGCAAGTGGTATCTGTTATACGTGTGTATTGAAATACATTCTAGAGTCGACTGACTTTTTATTAAAATAAAGATATACTCTTTTACAAAAACTACAAGAATAAAAACTTATACATTTATGACATCTCCCCTTTTAACTTAAACAATTTTCTCTAAACTATAGTACTACTATTTTGTTATTTAAATCTACCATATGTTAAACGATTGGGCTGCTTTATTACCCTTCCGCTTGATGTTTGCTCTGGTACTACAAACTTTTCATCTTCTGCAACATTTTCTTCTTCCTCTGAATCCTGGCTTACATCTATCACAGAACTGTCTAAATCATTACTACAAGATGCCTGATTATCTGTTACATTTTCAGAATTCTGAGGATCCTCTACATTACTTAATTTAATAAATTTTGTATTTCTAGTTAACATATTTCCATCATCAAATTTAATATTATATGACCTTGGCCTACATGTGGATTTACTCGCTATAACACCTTTATTCCATTTTTTCTCACTTAATCTATTTTTTACCAATACATGTTGGTTTCGTTTAAAATTAGTACTTCTACTTCTTACATTCCTATCATAATAATATTTTTGTTTATTCTGTCTTAAACAAAGATTTCTTCTAATTTGTGTATAATTGTTTTTTACAGGTTTTAATAACGAATCATGAACAGGCAAAATATCTTTAAGTCTTCTTGACATTAGCAATTGAGCTGGAGATTTAATTTTATTATCAAGAGGTGTATTTCTATACATTAACAATGTTAGATAAAAATCTTTGTTGTCACTTTTAGCCTTAATTAACATTTTTTTCAGTCTGTACATTTCTTTCTACTAACCCATTAGATTGAGACCAACGAGGACTTGAAGTAATATGTTGGAACTCCCACGCATTTGAGAATTTCTTGAATATTATACTACTAAACTGAGGTCCATTATCAGTTATGACGACTTTAGGAACCCCATGTCGCGAAAATATTTTTTTTAATTCAATAATTATTTGTTCTGATGACTGGGAATCGATCAATTTCGCTATTTCAATGTATTTTGAAAAATAATCCACCACTAATAAATAAACGTCAGTTTCAAAATAAAATAGATCACATGCCACCTTTTCCCACGGCCGATTCGGAATTTTATGGGGTAACATGGGCTCTTTGTATTTATTTTTTCCAAATTGTTGACAAATTTTACAGTTTTTTATTAAATTTTCTAATTCGTACTGCATATTAGGCCAAAAAAAAAACATTCTCGAGCTCTGTTTTTACATTTACTGATACCCAAATGTCCATAATGAATTCTTCCCAAAATCTCGTCTCGCAACCTAGTAGGAACAATTAATTTTGAATTTTTGTACAACAGTCCCTCAGCCTCTGTATTGTCACATTTATAAGGATAATATTGCCTTACTAAAGGATTAACTTTTTTAAACAAGGAAGGCCACCCATTTCGTACATAATAAAACAATAACTTCATTTCTGGATCGTGGGCCATCATTTTTTTTATTTCATAAATTTTTAAATCAGTAGCGTTTAATCCCTTTCGTAAAATACAAATTTGTGCTTCTATTTCCTTTTTTAATAACTGCCTTAACGGAGCTGTAATCTTCGATAAGTTTTTTATAAATTTCCCGACATTTGTGACAAACCCTAAATATCTCTGTAAGTCTTTTTTATTTTGTGGAACCGGCATTTCGCTGATAGCCTTAATTTTTGAATCATCTGGATAGAAACCTTCGCCACATATCTTATGACCCATATAAACAACTTCTGAACATGAAAATTTACACTTATTCAAATTAAATTTTATGTTATTTTTTCTAGCAATGTCTAAAACTTGTTTCAATATTCTGTCATGTTCTGTCTGATTATGTGCATAAATTAATATATCATCGATATAAATTTCTACTCCTGGAATCTCAAAAATTTCCCTAAATTTTTTATGAAATACTTCTGGAGCACAAGTAAGACCAAATGGTAGACGTAAAAATTTATACCGTCCAAACGGTGTGGAAAAAGTGCATAGATCCGAACTTTCTTTATCAAGTGGTATTTGCCAAAACCCTGACATAGCATCTAAAGTCGAAAATACTTTTGCACCTGCTAGTTTACTAGTTAGTTCCTCAAAAGTGGGTAACTGATAATGTTCTCGACAAATATTTTGATTTAAATTTCTTGTATCTAAGCATATTCTCAAAGTTCTGTCTGGCTTATGTACAAGCACTATTGGATTAACCCATTCTGTTGGATAATCTTCTTTAGAAATTATGCCCTCTTTATCCATTTTTTCTAAGCATGCTTTGAACTTATTAACAAGAGCAAAAGGTACTTTCCTTGGCACATGAACTACTGGACTAATGCTACTTTTCAATTTAATTGTATAGGGATCCCTCAGACAACCTATGCCTTTAAAAACATCGTTATAACTTTCTACTATTCTATTACAGCTAATATTATCAACCCGTTTAATTAAATTCAGTTGTATGCACGAATTAAGACCTAATATAGTAGGACATTCATCTCTTACTACACAAAATTCTAAGACATAATCATTTTCTTGGAAAGTACAACATAGCTTACATTTTCCTAACACAGGAACTCTTCTGTGGGTAAAATTAGTTATAATTAAATTAATGTTCTCCATTTTTTCTAAATCAAACCCTAAACTTTTTAATGTACTTTGACTAATGACATTAACCATTGCTCCCGTGTCTAGCTTAATTTTAATTTCTTTTTTTCTCTCGACTCTCGTTACAATACTCCATTCTCTACAACTATTCTTTTTTTGTTTTTTACCTATTAAACCTACGAACACTTCTTTTATCTCATTTTCCACCGCATATACGCTTCTCTTGAAACACATTTTTTTAAAATGACCATAAGCACCACACTCACTACATTGTTTTGTATACGCTGGACATCGTTTTTTTTCATGATTGTAGCCGCATCTTTGACACATCGTAGTTTTGCTGTTGTTGCTGCCCTTTTTCGTTTTCCACCTCTTCTCACCTGCTCTTGACTTGCCATCACTATAACCACCAGCCCCACTTTCTTTACCACTGCACTTCTGTCTCGCTCGCACTATCCCTATCTCACCTTTTTCGCTGATTTCTTGATTTTGTTTTTGTGACTCTTCCACTGATAAGCACACCCTTATCGCTTTATCCAATTTCATTTCGGAATCTTCAAGGAGCCTTTCTCTCAATTTCTCAGAAATCAATCCACAAATTAAGACATTACAAATGAGATCATTCTCTATCTCTCCCCATTTGCAATTTTTTGCCAAATTCTTCAATTCTGTTACGTAATACTGAGTCGTTTCACCTTGTGTCTGTTTTCTAGTCAAAAATTTGTGCCTTTGGTACACCAAATTCGTTTTCGGCGTAAAATATTCCGTAAACTTCTCGATTAAATTTCCGATTTTCCCTTTCTTATCCGCTTCAATCTCAAATGTATTAAAAATTCTCAAACCTTCATCTCCTATGTAATGAAGTAACTGTGCACACTGTAACTCTTCCGACTTCTTATTTGTTTCAGAGGCCACAAGGTAATTTTGAAATTTCTGCACCCAAAATTTCCAGTTTTCAGCCAAATTTCCCGACATCTCAAGTGGCGATATTCCTCGCATTTCACTCATTGTGAAATTTGATGCCGTTTTTTCTTAACAAAATCACTTTATGCATTCAAAATTATCGTCGCAGCGCCATGTTATACGTGTGTATTGAAATACATTCTAGAGTCGACTGACTTTTTATTAAAATAAAGATAAACTCTTTTACAAAAACTACAAGAATAAAAACTTATACATTTATGTATATATATATATATCCTTATCCAGAAGATAAGGACCGATTTTTTTGCTGGGGAAGGGTTGCATCAATTCACCGTAGGTAATACCTTTTGGAGTGTGTAATATGCTCCGGCTAGTTTTGAGAGGCTAATGGAGACGATATTACGAAGGCGTACATGAAAAACATGTTTGGTTTATTTAGACGATATCATGGTAACGGGGAAGACCTTTAAGAGGCGAACTTGAATCCGAAAAATGCCTCCTCTTCCAAAAAGAAGTAGAATTTCTTGGGAATACTGTTTCAGAAAATGGGATTAAGACTACGGGAACAAAGAACAGTGCGTTTTGCGATTGGCCAAGACCAAGAGATAAGCGCGAAGTCTGGAGTTTCTTGGGGTTATGCATATAGGTACTTACTACAGAAAGTTTGTCGACGGGTTTGTTGATGTTGCCGCTCCTCTACACAGGTTGACGGATTTGAAGTCTCAGTTTAAGTGCACTGCTGAGTGCAATTCAAGATATCGGTGTACGCTTTGTTATCTATAATAAGAAAGTGGGTGGAATTTTCTGTTCATAAGACAAATCAATTAAAGTTATTAATAGATAGGCAACCAGTAATACAACCTTGAAGCGTTGAAAATGATATGTCAAGAGAGCGAGACAACAATACGCAAATTTAATCCATAATAAATACTCTAATTTAGCGTCTCGTATGTGACCACCTGGGTACAAACCAGAAACAAAATGTGAAACTGACTGTGAATTAATTTTTATATTTGTCCGAAATTTAAACTGATTTAACACTCAAAACTTTTAATTATACCACACATCCTCTGAACATATAAGCAAGAATTAAATACAGCTAAAAATTGTGACGTAAAAACGTAGACACGATATGGCGCTATCTACAGGAAAGTTGGCACTTTATCCAATTTGTCAATCCCCTGACATTCTGTCAAAACATCAACAATTAAGGTTTATGATTCAGACATTCAGACATTTGCCCCCAGTTGAACAGCAAGGTTTCATTGTCTCCGAAGTACTTCTGTTTATTATGGAAAAACCGCCTTTACGAGTTTCTCCCTTGATAAAATTCTGCAGGTGGACCTTTCTGATTGTCGGAATATTTTATGGAGCATCTAAACAAAAATTTTTTGCTGGAAGAGAAGGTTCTCGTAGAGAACAAGCAGAAAAGCAAAAAGAAATGCGTGATGCTGAACTTGAAATGGAGAAGAAAATAGCGAACGAAGAGGAAATGGCTCAACTTGAGAAAATGTTTTTGCAAAAATAAATATTTTTTTGTATTTTAGGTTATGTAAGCATTTGTTTCCGAATTCTCCCACTTACCTGTTGATTGAGGGCATATTCGAGTTGTGTAAATAAAAGAAAGTTCTGTGTCTTCTGCTGTTTAGTAAACGGCAAATGAGATGTGCTCTTTAGTGCTCTTATGTTTTAGAAATATGTCGTTAATTAGATACATACCTGTATTTAAAAAATAATTTTTGGTACCTGCTTAACTAGTAGATTATTTGAGGTAAGTAAATAAAACAATCTTGTGTGAATTTGGGTTCTATCAATAAATGCTGAGTAAGATGCGCTTTCCTGTTAACTACGTTAGTGTTAACAGTAACGGTAAGTATGTAACGTATGCAAAGCTGTCTCTTGCTCTTGTTAATAGAAAAAGCACCTAGGAATGAAATACACTGTTTGTATTTTATGACTGTGCTGTGGTAAAAAATGTATAAACTTAAAGAAAATTACATGTGGTCACTCAAATCAACCGTTCAAATTTTGTATCAATAGTTTTGAACCATATAAGGCCTACATATTTTGTTGTTCTATTAAATAAATTAACTGGTTTCTTTAAAAAGCTTGGTATTGGCCAAACAGCTTTCACAAGTCTTTCAAAAAAGTTCAGTTTTGGATTTACGAGAAAACAATTTGAATAAAAATTTATAAATCAAGTAACTGGCATGAGTAAGGATATATGTTGTATTAGAAACAAAAACACTAGTTTTCAAATGTTATAGAGCAGCAGAACTATTTACATCATAAAAATCGTATAAATAAGACCAGTCTACACTAGATAATTCACTATATAGAGCTCCAAAATCAGCTTTCCTGAAATTATAATCACGCAAATTAGACACAGGGAAAGTACCCTTTCGCTTACATAAATTTACAACTACAAGAGTAGGATGATAATTATCTTCACAAAGAAGAAGGTGATTAGATTTGCTCACATTACAGTGCCTTGAATAACACGTTTTTGATTTCACCTATAGAAATAAATAATTCGTTCACTGATGAGCCATCCTCTGTTAACATTTCTAAGCAATATTTTTTTTTTACAGAAGTGCATACAACGTTACGACTAGAATATATGTTTTTAACAAACATATATACATTTGATAAATACCAGTATACTATGACGTTATTAACTATCTACAGGAGATGAATTAGTATAGTTTAAATCATTGTTCTGTAACAACTTAATTATTCTTAGTATCTTTCCAAATTTTCAAAAACGTTCATTCTCTAGATTCTAAGATAAAGTTGCTTCAACAAGTTTTAACCCGTACTTTGCTAAATTGCTAAAATTGTTAAACCACAATTATGATAAATTTAAAATTTCACAAAAATCAGTACAATAGTTGTTTACTTATGTGTCTAATAAAATGGTCAATAGACGAGACAGACGGAAACATGAGACCTAATTTTCCATATATGAGTAAATATGGAGTTAGACATGGATTCTGTCTGGGAAGTCTTGAATGGGCTGAAGGAAGGGGACGAGGCGGGGAATCTACCTGGATAGGTAAAACCGGGGAATCGGTAATAGACTACGTAATAGTAAACGGATTAGCAGAAGAAGAGGTAGAAACATTCAAGATAGGAGAAAGAGTGGACTCCGATCACATGCCACTAGAAGTAAAAGTGAGGGGCATAAGTAGAGGGAGCGGATGCTTAAGTAAATGAAGTAGGAAAAGAGAAGAAGATATGGGTATGCAATGAAAAAGGAATTGAGCATTATAAAAAAAAAATGTTGGAAGTGGAATTTAAAGAAAAAGAAACTGAAAAGAAAATGGGAGAATTAAAAAGAGAAATTGAAAAAGCAGCCATAAGAAAAGAAATTGTAACGAGAAATTTAGAAAAGAGAAACAGATGGTGGGATAGCAGATGCAGAGATTTAAAAACAGAAGAAAGGAAATGTTTACAAAGGTGGAAAAGTGGAAAGGTATAGTTAAAAGAAGAGTACTGGCAAGCAAAAAATAATTATAGAAAACGATGCAAAGAAAAGAAAGAGGAGATACAGCAAGAAGAAGAAGAAAAAAATTAAAGCCATAAGAACTGAGCAAGAGGCATGGCAGTATATAAATAAAGAACGGAAGAACAAAATCACCATTAGTGAAGACATACCTATAATACAGGGGAAGAAACATTTTATGGAACTGTTGAATGGAAAGGAAGAGAGAATTGTAGTGCAAGATAGTAAAACCGGGATTGGTGGTAGAGAAAGGGAGGCTGAGATTCGAGTAGAGGAAGTAGGAAAACAAGTAGGAAGGAAAAGCACCGGGGAGGGATGGGTTGGTAAACGAAGTGTGGATATTTGGGACGGATGGGAGGATTGAAAAATTGAGCGAGTTAATGAATGATGTGTGGACGGGTAAAAATTTTCCCAGGGAATGGAGAGTATTTTATTTTAATTACGTCCCCCAACAGGCACGGAGGCCCAATTACAGGGGAACGGGACATTCACGACACCCAGAGCCAGGGCGGGAATCGAACCCACGACCCAAGGTGTAGCGGGCAAGCATAATGCTAACTAACCCACCCGGGTCCTCAATAGTAGGGCAAATATGCCCAATTTATAAAAAGGGTAATAAAGAAAAAGTAGAGAATTATCGGGGAATAACTCTCCTAAATACGGCATATAAACTGTACGCAATGGTGTTAAATGAAAGGTTGGTGACAGAGATGAACGTAAAGAGTGTATTACCGGAAAGTTAAGCAGGATTTAGAAGAGGTAGAGGGGCTATGGACAATGTATATATCCTGCATCATCTAATAGAAAGAGTTGCTAAAGGAAGGAGGTCGGGTATATGCACTAAGAGTCGCGTTTGATACGGTGGACAGAGAGTGTTTGTGGGAATGCATGGAGAGAAGAGGACTGAGTGAAAATTAATTGAAGCAGCAAGAGAGAATTATAGAGAGACAGTGAATAGTCTGAGAGTGGGAGGAATAGAAAGTGAAATGTTTTGGACGACGAAAGGATTGAGACAGGGATGCCGATTAAGTCCCAGTCTGTTTGCTTGTTATATAAGCGATATCGAGGAAATGTTTAGAGGAGTACAAGCGGGAGGAATTGTGGTGGAGAGAGAAAAGGAATGGTGTTTGGCATTTGCAGATCATTTGGTAATATTGGCGAAGGATGAATGTGGAATGAATGAGATGAAAAAAAACTGCAAAGATATTTTAAAAGAAAGAAACTGGAGGTAAATGTAGAAAAAACAAAAATGATGGTGTTTAAAGAAAAAAACGAAGAAAAGGGGAGGAAAAAGTGTGGCTTTGGGTAGATCGAATCATAGACACAATAAAGGAGTTTAAATATTTAGGATTTAAGTTTACAACAACTAACACGGTAAAAGCACACATAAGAGAAAGAAGGATCAAAGCAATGCAGATAATGGGAATGGTGTGGAGTATAGGTGAGAAAATATTTGGACATGACGTAAGAAGAAGGATGAAAATGTTTGATAGTTTAGCTAGGAGTGTATTAATGTACGGAGTGGAGATATGGGGATGGAAGGAATATGCAGAGGTGGAAGCAGTACAAGAAAAATATT